TGAATTGTGAAAATAGCATTTTTGAGAGGGTAAATATATTCGATACATTCGAGTAATATGTTTGAGGCACTATTTTTAGCTCTCCATTTTATGTCATATGAAATTAAAGTATGTATATATGATGGCTGTATAAGTTTTTTATAATGATTTTAGGTCCGTCTCAAATGTATCGTAATCAATGATTGATAATAAAAAAAGAATATCTTGCAAAAGGTTTTCTGTAAATCTTTAGATATTAGTTGATGGAGAGGTTGAGAATGATAATGAGCATTGAACAATATCATCTAAAATACATTTCGATGATCAGTGACTGGGTTCAGGATACGATATTAATATTATAATTCATCATTTTTATTTTGAAAGTAATAATATAGATACTACAAACAATAATAAAAGATCAAAGTCAAACATTTATATAAAGTTTACAAAATCACAGATATATACAGTTTTCAAGAATAGTATAAATCAAATTAATTTACTTACCAACTTAAGATAACTTATCTATTTCGTATTCTAAAAATGTATTTTTTTTAAGTCTGAAGTAGATACCTAGAAAACACGAAACCTACATAATCATGATCAAACAAAATCTATATTAGGCCTATACAATGTTGTCTATACAAATCGTAAAAAAAATTCAACAAATAATTACGAAGAAACGGCGTGTTGTCGCACAAAATAAATAAACGCCGACTTTTAAATTTTTGTAATGAGTTCAGCCGTTTTTTGAGAAAACGTCGACGAAAGACCAAAAATCGCTTTATTTACACACGCACATACTTTTTCCAAATTTGATCTTATCAGATTCAGATTGACTCGAAACGTCGAGAAAACTTAAAATAAGGAAATCGGATTTTCTAGCAAAAACAAAATTCTCCTTCGAGAAGTTAATAAAAGGCAATACGTCCGTTGACTTACAAGAAAATATTAATTAAAAATTATAAGAAAAAAATAAAAAATAGAAGAGAAATAAATGTGCAAAAGATAGTAATAAACAAAAATTAATCAATATTTAACAATAACATTAAGAAAAACTAATTTATAATAGAATAATCATGAATAAATAATAAAAAATATGTTCAATATGTTTCTATCGATTTATACGCCATATTTTATAGGTCTTTCTGAAAAAATCCAATGAACCAATTTTTAATTTCTTAACTCGTTGAAACTATCGAGAAGTTGTTTATTTTACCAAATTTACCGCACCCATTCAACGGAATCGTTAGATATACATTAGACAAAAGATAATACAGAACCTTTCTGGGAACTAGAAAAAACTGATATGATTCTAAACTTAATCAAACCAACATGATTACAAGTATCAAAACTTTGCTTTCATCTAGTTTATTTGTCATTTTCTATTTATATAGTAAAAACCGATTTTTTCCCCTAAAAAACAGTTTTCGAATTTCATAATTTTCGTCAAAAAAGCGGTTTTTGAAAGCCGACAAACCCTAGTATACAGTAGTGTTGTCGAACCGGAACGCGCCGGAACGTCGTTCCGGCAAAAAAAAATTTTTTTAAAATCGCTACATACAGAAAATAATTTAATGAATGTGAATTTTATAAATTATAATCCAACTCATTCTTATTAAAAGTTTATATTATTGTAATAAACATACATATATGTGCACAAAATGGGTTTTGTAATGATTTTTGTTTCTTTCCTTTGCGAACGGAACCGGAACAAACATAAGAACTGGTTTTTGGACCGGTTTTTAAATTTTAGCGTTCCGGCAAAAAAAATATTAGCACTACACCACTGCTAATATATATATATATATATATATATATATATATATATATATATTGATTTTCAGCCAATCGTCGAAATAAAACAATAATAAATTATTTATTTATACATTTCGACACTGTTGTGTGTCATCATTCAGCAATTTTTTTATGTTTTACAGTATCTAAAAGAATTTTTTTACAAAAAGATTAACAATAGATTAAAGAAAGTAAAAAATGTATACATACCACACCAGGAAAAATAATAACACAATTTTAAAAAATATAGAAAATAAAATAACAATTTTGTTTTAAATTTAAACTAAAGATTTATGTAGTGTATCGTTGCAAGCAAAAAGCCGAGCGCACCCGATGTAAAAAACCGAAGATTTACGAAGATGTAGTAGAGAGTCTATATATATATATATATATATATATATATATATATATATCTTATATATAAAATTCTTCTGTAACAATGTAAGTTTCATATTTCCTCCTAAACTATAATTCGGATTTTCATGAATCTTCCTGAAGTTTGTTCGGGAAATTTTTTAGAATGTTTTGATTCATAGAAATATAGCTAAATTGTAGAAATAAATAGAAAAAATTACAAAAAACCGCTTATCATTGTTTGCCCTTGAAAATATTTGAAGCTTAGTTTGACATTAAAAACAATTGAGGACTGTCATTTGCCAAACATTTCTATTCACTTATAGGCTAAGGCGATATTAGAATATAATAAATTCATAATTATGAATAAGGAAAATGTAATGTCTACATTATTAATGCCGAAAAGCAGCTGAGATGTGCCAAAAATTAAATTAATATAAGATGCAAATAATATAACAAGCATTTGACAAGTGATGCAGTCTGCGCATGCGTCTGACGTGCGCGTGGTTTGCTTTTGCTTGCAATAATTTTGTTTGCGCACTTTGCGAACAGATTCGCCGTACGAATTCGCGCAAAGGAGCGAGCCATAAGTGATTGCGCTCAAACATATTCAATTTGCAGTCGTTTTGCCTTACTATACTAAGTCGCAATACAAAAAAAAATTATTTAGAAGTTTCATTGTGTCAAAAATTCATATGTTTGTCATTGGGTACGGAATATTTACTCAATGGGGGCGCTTTGGGTCTGAAATTTTTACTGTTTTCCAATTCGTTTGGAATTTTGGAACTAGGTTCATCTTACTCTTCAGAAGTGAAAACAATTTAGACTCCTTTACCACTTCTCGGGTGGATAACATTTCTTTTCAGTGGTGTAATTTTACTTTTTTCAAAATAACGTTGGGTATCGATAAAAGAACTAATTATACGAGAAAAATATTTAATAATGTTTTTCAAAAAAGGAAATACTTTTCAAGTTACTGGCTACTGAATATTTGTTTCTTTTTTGCGTTTTTCATCATTTTTTGCTAACACCTTCAAAAATCTTAACGAAAATCATGTAATGAACAGAATTATATCAATTAAAATCTTAATAAATCGTTATTTTATAGTGTTTTAGGAACATTATTAGGCTAGATATGAAAATGGGTTTTTATAGTGCTCAAAATAAGCTTTAAAATGAGTACTTCTGCGTGTAAAATGAGTGAGCTATCATGCAGATAAAGGACGCATGCAATGTTTTTTTTTTTCATTTAAATCAAATACTTTGAGTGCCATATCCACCAAAATTAAAAATAATCGTATTCAATCTAGAATTAACTTGGTTTAAGAGATCTTGATGGATTCTAGAAAATACCACAACTTTAGTACAAATGATTTTGAAAAAACTCATGATTTCATGAAAAAAAAAACATTTAAAAAAAACAACCAATTTCTCATCATAATACCTCTGAAAGAATACGTATAAAAGTATATATATATATATGAAAATTCGAGGTATTTTTCTGACTAATTATTATTGTTTATTATTATTTCGTTACACAAATATTGATAGATGTATGATTAATTAAGGAGCTGTCCAACCAGAGGTCTTTCGAGCGCTTTAACCCTTCGCCGTTTTACAATAAGAGAAGTTACGGTAAAATTAATGATAGAGAAAGTTGTAGCTCATTTAATCACCTTTAAAATAGTGTATTACAAGTTCTGATAAAATCAGAATTAAAAGAGTAATAATCCAATTAATGCTGTGGATGGTGACGGAGTGCAAATTGTTAAAAACATTGAAATTAAGATAAAGATTAGCCTATTTCCAAAATATCAAGTAAATTGGAGCACAGTAAAAAAATTCACAGAGCAATAATTTTGTTGATTGTAAGTTGAATAGAGCACATGTGAACAGGATTTGACAAATTAATTCACTTCAAATATAAACTTAAGCAATAATGTATATTGATTTATTGGAGAAAAAATGTAATTTAGTTATTAAAATTACTAAAAGCCAGTTAAAATATGGTACGAAATTATAAAAATTATAGGCAACATTATTGAAGCATATATTTTGGGTAGAAAAATAAAAGGTGATATTGCACCTTTGCCGCGAATGCTATATATTAATTATTTCTGAATTTGTTGTACTTTTTAAAAGATTTCAATTTTCAACACGTGTATCTTATGCTATAACCATAAATCACAAAGGCAGACGATTATTTTTAGTGTGATAAATTTGGAAAATCAATGTTTTAGTCGTGAATAAACAAAAAATCATTCATTTATACATCCACATCTACAGGTATGACTAAAAATACTATATAACCCTTAAATGCAATAAAATAAATTGAGCTATTGGAAATAAATTTGTTCTATAAATCGCAGTGTATAATTTTTAATATACAATTTTATTGAACATTTTTTAATATTTGTTAAATGAATAATTAAAGTGTTAACTGTGGGAATTGAGAACAATCATTTTATTTGAAATAGTTCTACATTCAACATCACTCATATATTGGTGTAAATAGTAATTCAAAAAACAGTAATTATTATTTTTAACTAAGCAGTAAATATTAGTATAAAAAATTGAAAAATTGTAGACATGAGTACAGAACAACGTCTGTCGGGTCAGCTAGTATATATATATATTTATTTATTTATTTATTTATATATCATATATCATATCTGAAAATTCAACAGAAATATACTCCCACTTATAAAAAAAATATTCATAAATTTCATTTTATATATAAAATATTTATTTTGAAAAACAATTTTGGTTACAATAATACTGTTTTGCTTAAGTATTCACGATAAACTACAATGTAAACTATTATAACTCTAATAATAAGATGATTCCATTTTATTTCAGCAAATCTTTTCAAGACAAGTCTATCTACAGGTAAATCACATATCAAATATTAAAATCGAAATATATTAAATTTATGAACTTTCTGCTATATTCAAAGCAAATCCAACTCTCTCATTGTCCTACAATGTCTTTAATGATAAACACTATTTTCATACAAACTTATCTGGTTTCAATTGCGATATTATCACATGTAAATAATCATTAAACCTCCACCTGAGGAATGTACGTTTATATATTTTGCTTATTTGTCAATTAAAATATGTTTTGCTGGTTTAAGATCTAAAAATTTGTCACGCAATGTATATAAGATATCATTATTTATATACTTCATTGGGTCATCATCCCACAAATCATTTAAGAAATTAAAATATTCATTGCATGGCTAAATTTTGGTGACATAAATAATGTCTACAAAGACATGTCGACAAATATTTCTCATGAAATAATTTATGTAAATCAGGATTTTTACTTTCTATAGAAGGTTTTAATAATTATTACAAAATTTAAGTCTCTAAAATTCTACCTATTTACAATTCACTAACCTATATAAATATATTCATATAAAACTATATCTTTATACAAAAATGTCATAGATCATAGTAATAATTAGATAATAAAATAACTGCCTGAAAAATGTAACAACTAGATAATAAACCAAGCTCAATATGATGAGCAATGATCATAGCTTTTAAATAGTGTTGTAAAATTCAATATTAAAAATATTGTCACTGCACCTAATGCTGAACCAAATTGTTGCATAACACCTACTTTGTATAATGAAGAACCTCCTTGTAAGTTAAAAATGGCAATTATACTTAATTTTATAAAACTTACAAGTCCAACTAAGAACGTCCAACACAGGACCTATAATAAAATAAAATAAACATATATATCCAAACAAATTAAAGTCTTCTAGAAATTAGAAAAAAATCAATAATTCAAAATCAATTGGCCAATAGATACGACATTCAGAAAGTAAACCCATTATGCACTCTTCAATATTTACTTAATATATCAATACAAATAATTAAAAAATAATATAAATAAATTCAACTTAAAAACTCACCACTAGGATTTCTCCACTAATAATATTCTTCAATGGTGGTGTGGGACTCAATAAAGATGTAGCTAATGCATAACAACCTATTATGGTTGTTATACAAGAAAATATCACAATACGCCTAAATCAAAATAAATTAAATTATTCATATGCAATATATATTAAAAATGATTTATAAAGAGAAAACAAGCAAAATATTGTATTGAAGGCAAATCAAATTTCGATCCCAGTACATCGCTGAATTTGCTAACATCAGCATTTTGTACTTGACAATTCTTTTCGAAAGATTTCCGCAATTACGTTTTACTTAGCATTTTGAGTTAGAGATTAAAATTAATAAAATTTTAACAGCACAGGCGTCTTTCGGCAAGCCGAAGGATTTTCTGGGATGTTTCAAAAAGCAGTCATTCAAAATGTAATTTTGTAATCTTTTCAAAATTATTTACTAGTCTTCTGCAAATGTTGATGTGTTTCTGAATATTTTATGTAATTTTATGTAATAAAAGATATTACAAGTTGTGTAAGTAAAGTAAAAATTGTTTTTAATTGTGACATGAACCCACAAACCTGGAGCCACCAAATTTAAACTCCCCAACAATATATATATATGGCATAAAACATATACCATGTAACAAGTATTATAAAGTATCATAAGTTAATTTATCACTCACCTAACAGATTTATGTGGTAAGAACACTGCCAGAAAGCAAGCAAATGGATTTGCCATTGTGGAAAGGGCGACTGTCAAATGATAAGCTCTATTTCCATATGGTAAACAAGAATAACTTTGAACACTTGGAAATACTCCATTTGACATAAAACATACCACAGCCATGATAATCATTAATAAATAATAATTTGATTTGCTTAGTTCTTTTATTGGTGAACTGTCCTCCAACACATCAGTCTTCTCAATATCACTATTACTATTAGGGGCACTCACAATTTGTTGTTTCTCACTAACATATTGATTCTTACACATCTTCAAATTATTTAATAATATAAAAGCAATTGTACTAAAAATATACATGACAAACGTAAATATGAAGAAAGCTGTTGATCCAAACTGAGGTGGAGAATAGTGCGGCTGCCCATTAACACATTCAGGATTACCTCCAACTCCTTGAATTAATGTAACAATACTTGGTACAAAACCTCCAATTCCTCCGCCCATTAGATAAGATATCATGTACGTCTCTCTAAACCTGCCCATATAAGGCATGAATAGTACAGAACTTGTACAACCAACTAGAGCTAGGAAAAAAGCCAGCGATAGCATAGAACTGCTATGTTCCTCTCCAAATACCACTGTTGTTTTATCATATAAAAATGCCATAAGTATGGAGCTAATGCATCCAATCACCATCAATATATATATATATGAAGAGTCTTTTATCCTTCCTGGGTAAAGTTTCTGTACTAATGAATATATAATAGGTCCTAAGTTAGCTAATTGGATTACTACGACTAAAAATGAGGGCAAATTCCATCCTTCAGGAGACGGTCCCACCAAAAGTGGCAATTGCAGATAAACTGAATTCACACCGATCCATGCCGCACAGCCAAATGATATTGCGAGAAGATCAACTAAGATGTTTCGGTCCCGTAAAGAGTTTGAGCATTGTGTAAAAGCCTGCTTCATTTTTGTAGTTGGTTTTATTAGAAATGTGTGCTCGCATGGAATTCCTGCTTGTCTGCGAATTAGAAAACATGTGCAAAATTAGATTTCTGTTTGCAGTAGTAAATAAATTAATATACAAAAAGTAGAAAAAATTATATTAATGCAATTTGTAATGCGCAGAGGCAATGGAAAATTAACTCGGATTGCAAGACTAATAGTACTGAACATTATAAAAATGTTCATACCAAAGTTATATAAGTTCTATAATCATTATGTAGTAGCAAATTATATCAAGAAACGATTACCTAATATTTTCTAGACATCGTTGAACATATTAGCTTAAAAACTTATTTAAAATCAATATGTACTATTATATCATCTTTTATAGAAAGTCTAAAGCATCCAGATCTCATTATATAAACACAATAGATAATAAAAAAATCCACAACATATATTGTAAAAAAAATTAATTTAATTGAAACTTTGTACAATATATAATAGTAATTTGTGTAGCACATAATTATATATTCTATGGCCAAAGCAAAAATTAAGACAGAGTTGTTTTCATACTAGAAGTTTCAACTACTGAAATGAAACTTTTTATAAAGAATACAGTACAATCTATTAACTCAACGCATATACCACCAAGTATTTTGATCTTCTCGCTCAACACATGCGATTTTACACTAATTATGTGGCACCATAACCAAAAAATGGCAAGTTGGTTAAATCACCTTTTAATGTAAGACTGTGAATTATGTAATTAATATCAGCGCAGAATGTTGAAAAGAAATATTTACACACCTCTTCAGTTCGCATTCAACTTTCAAGTGACAATCACCTGAACTGAAATCATTCAAATTATCTTGTCCCATGATTAAACACTTATTACAATTTATGACAATGACCTTGTTTGCGAAGAATTTTGAGATAACAGTTTTATTTAATTAGGCTTAAGATAATCGCATTTTTTTCTAAAAACGTGCCTAAAAGCACATCGTATAAAAAATTTAAAAAAAAATCACAGAAACGAGACGATGAGTTGACAAAGTGAGAAATGAACAAAAGATTGCGCAAAACGCAAACTATGACGTTCATAATGAAATAGCAAGCACGTAACCTACAACTCTAATTTCTTTACAAACAAATATAAAATAGCTATTCATAGGAACTTAACGGGTATTTGGTTTTTAGTAATTTGCGTTACATTTCGGACATCGGACATCGGACACGGACAAGTTCTCATGAGGCGACTCTCACAGGCGCTTTCATTGCTTTAGGCCATACACTCCAGTTTTATGCAATGGCATGAATTCTAAAAGACAGTAAGAAGAAGCTGCTATACAACAATATAATATAATATATGATAACGGTTGGAGCAAACAAATCATGATCTTATGAATGATAATAATAATTGAACATTTTTTACAATTTTTTCCAGTTTGTTTTCGAAAATTTAAAACAATAGTTACAACTTTCACATGTGAGGCATAATAAATATGTATACATATTATGTCTGTGTGTGTTTGAATCTGTTTAATTTTTTTATTTGCCAAATAAAATACTAATCTATAATTTTTATTTTAAATTAAATGTTTAGCAAACATATTTGTGGCATTATTTTATTATAGAAATAGGTGTTTCTCACATGTTTTTTTTTTTTTTTTTTGTAAAAACAACTCTAAATCATTTGGTAGATTAATCAAATAAAAGAAATTATACCTTAACATAAGTATTTATTAGCACTATAATAATTACAATTAAAATATTACAATATTGACAGAATAATAAATATTTTAATAAATATATTCAACAAGCCATTTCAATTGAAAATAAAAATCGCAAATTACATTTTTTGTGCATTTTCAGGAATCTAATATTCATTCAAATTAAAAAACCTTCATTAATTGATAGCCTAGTATTGAGTATATAAGCACATGTGAAACTAATTCGAATATATTAGCAAGTTAAAAAGTCAAGATATAAATCAAGTACTACATCAAAATGTGTGCTTTTCCTAAGCAGCTGCAATACCCAAAGCAGCACCAGCTGCAAATGCTCCTATAAAAATATGTATTTCTTGCAATTTAAATTCTTCTTCACCTGTAAGACCGTGATACCATTTTTTGGCTTTTCTTTGATTTTTCTTTAGCAATTCCTCTGCTTTGTCAATTTTCCTATCAACAAATCTCTCAATCTGAAATTTTAAAATGATAATGAATGTAAGCAATTATTTGCTACAAACAAAACCATGTGTTTTATTTTATAAAAAAAAACTACTACTTTATTTTTTTTTTAAGTTTACAATGCTATAGCATGGTTAACATGATAATCCAATGAAGAAACCACCAATAAAAGAAGTTACAATATAAGGATTCTCTCTTGTAAAAATTCTGACCTGTAAAATATTAGTACGTGGGAAGTTGTTCTTGAAGACGACATTATTTCTGTTGACTATAAAATATACTCACTTTATCCATTAATTTGGGAGTTTCTCCAGTAACAGCCTCTTCAATTTTATCTGTCACCTTATCAGCCTTTTTAGTTACTTTATCCCAGTCAATAGAAATGTACCCTTTGTGGTTAGCTACTTGTAATATTAAAATACCACCGCCAACGGCAAGAGCAGCCAATTTACCAATCCTCATAGTAACAAATCCAGTTGTCCTAAAATAATGTAAAAAAAACATAATTTATTGATTTATCTTTAATTTCAATAAATGTATATATTCTGCAAAGGCATGAACCAATAGAAATTAAAAATGTTATAAATCATTATTAGTATTATTATTAGTTATAAATCAATGTTTATTATAAGTAAATAATTTGGATAATAACAATGTATAGAACAATACAATAGTGTAATTGTCATTAAGAGCTACACTGTTGTATTGTTTTATACGTAGAGCTACACTATTACCTTAACTTATATTATTATTATTACAAATTATCCCTTTCTTTTCCATCAATATTATTTAAAGAAGCAATAATTTGAAAATAAAATGTTACATTACTTTACAAGATTATAAAAAGATATTTAACAATTACTAAATGTACAATATATAGCAACTATATAAAAAAACATTAATATGAATAATTTATTATATGGTGAATTAACAGATATCTTAAAATCATGTCAAATTAAATTTTCTGGTATTGCTATTATAAACAAAAATATATCTGCGTATTTGCTTTCTAAACTGTATATTGCTATACATAAGTGTATTTGTTCATGTTTACATAGAATATAAATGATATGAAATTTAATGGCAAAATAAAAAAGAAATTGTAGTTATTTACCATCCTGATAATGAACCAATGACTAATTGTTTAGTTGCTGAGGTTTTGCTCACATCCCCAAGAATGCGTTCAATAAAATTTTTAGCATCTTTAGCTACTTCATCCATACTGACAATTTCTTTATTTACTTCGTCCTTGTTCGATTTTCGCACAACTGGGCTTGCCATCGGTTCAATTCTATGGTTTCGAAAAGATTTGTTTATATTTGTCATATGATTTTTATGACATTATAGTATTAAAAATAGAACATTTATGGAGCCAAATTTATTTTTATAATTTAACAAATATTCTCACCTTCAATATACTTAAATATATATGACTATAACAAATATAGTAAGAGCACTTCGGAGCTCTAATATTTGCTTTATATTCACGATTCTCTATTATTTGACATTTACTTTCGATGTTTCGCAACTGCGCATCCAATGCAAGTAAAGAGTGAAACAAATGCAAGCGCACCTCTGCTCGCTATAACAGCGCCGCTCAATCTTTTTCTCTCAAATATTTGAAAATTTACATTCTGTGTCTATATATAAATGTACATAAAAATAAATTTATATATCATTAATTGTACGTGAACTGTTTTCTTTCTTGTAAATCAAATCAAAATGAAGCGAAAAGCGCGCGCTAAACTTTTAAAATAAATTAAAAAAAGAAATTCAATATTTTAAAGATTGTTATCATAATGTGATGGTTATGCATATAAATTAGGTCTATGATAACTAATTTGAAACTATTTGAATAAAACAAATATTGAATGTTGCTTATGTTTACTTATCTATGGAATGCTGCTTCTGTTTTATTAGTTTTGAGAGCGTTTAACACCAAAAATGCAACCTGTTGCCTACCATGAATCTTTCATGCGAACTTCAGGTGAATTAACTGTCGCTGTCAAAATATATATCTGCAAATTGTACTGTATGATCGGTTGTTTTAGTTAATTGCTGAATTCTATGGAATTTTGAAAAACTAGTAAAGTTTGATGTCGATTAAGTTTTCTTAAGTCATTATTAATATACTATTGCATACTCACTGTACTGAGCTGTTTGTTATATACCGAAATATTTCGATCGCCGTCGGTTGTTTACGTTCATTTTTATATACAATCAAAGATCGTGCTAATTGTAGTCACACGTACTTCTTCATTCTTTTATTCTACTACAAAAACGAAATGAGTGACTCTGCAGCTGTATCCGAACCATGCATAGAAACAAAAGAGGTATTTATTGATATTCTACCCATGAAAGATTTAGCATTATCATATATTAATAGAATTTGTAAATTTAGTTGTCTTCACATGATTTGGAAAAGCTTGAAGAAGAAAAATTGAAAGCTAAGTTTCCAGCTGGTTTAGGAGGTCTCGGACGTGGTGGCCCAGGTGGACACAGTGCTTTTCTACAAAAAAGATTAGCTAAAGGGGTAAATAACATTTCACAATAATTATACTGATCAAAATCTTGCACAATAGACTATAAGACAATGAATACCCAAATATTTCTTTTCTTAGATGTTCTTGAATCAAAATTATTTAATTCTGATGTCACTGGCTTGTCATAGTTTATTATTATTATAATTAGTATCATAATAGATTAAGGAAGTTTTCACATTCAATAACATGTAATAGCATGAATGAGAAGTAAAACAAAATAAAATTTCTTCAATCTATAAACCTTTTCCTTTATTACAGCAGCAGAAATTTTTTGATTCTGGAGATTATCAAATGGCAAAACAGAAAATGGGGCAAGCAGGAAAGCAAGCTCTGGCTAATAAGGTGATTCCAACAGGTGATGCAATTCCTACTCCTGAAACCGTACCTGTTCGCAAGACATCTATTATACAGCAAAAATTTAATATAAGTCAATCATAATAAAAGTAAATTGTTGACAAATTTACTTTTGTTGTTTATTGTATTTTTAACATAAGGATTAGTTTGAATGTAAGAATGTAATACGCTGTTAATAATATTTTAAAGTGTAAAAATATAAAACCTATTAATGATATTGTATATCAACTTTTTTTTTAAATTATCCATAAACATAATTTTGCAGAAATTGCTTTAATTTAATGAAGTTGTGAAGCTTCTTGATTGATATCGGATAATCTTGTTTGAATTAAACTCTTGTACTCTTTTATTAACGACATGCTTCCTGGAGGTGCTGCAAAACTTTTCTCCAAATGCATCTAAAACATAAAATATAAAGTGGCCGTAAACTATACACTTATACAATATGCAATGCGTGCTTAGCCGACAACATCTGTTTATAGATGTATTCCAAAAATTAGTAATCTTTTTGAAATCACAAGCCGCATTCTATTTTTAAATTGTTGTGGCTAGCCGCATTTATTAATAATTTACAAATAGAATAAAAACTATTCTATTCAAATCTTTAGCAAACTGAATCATGTTATTTACAAATTGCCATGTCTCCTCAAAGTAGACAGCCGAATGATATGCTTGTTGTACCCTCAGAGGGGTCAAGGCGCAAAGGGTTCATAGAACAGAATTTGTTCAAAAGAATAAATTGTTACCTTTAAAATCTCTTCACTCTCGTAAGGTATTATGCTCGACAAGAAACCAATAAGGAATTTAAATGAAGCATGATCTTTTGATGGTGGGCCAATTGAATCTATTCCAAACTTTATTGAAAACCTACAATAATTTGTTTCGTGCATGTGTGTGTGTGTGTGTGTGTGTGTGTGTGTATATTTATATTTATATTTATATTTATATATATATATATATATATATATATATATATATATATATATATATATATATATATATATATATATTAGAGGTGAATGATATATCATAAAATGTTTTTAGACATCCAATAATGAGAATAAATTTTTAGTGAAGAAAAATGACTACTGAAACTGTCTATGTGTGTATTACCAAATATATACTGATATAAAAGAAAAGTAAACCATACCATGTCGAATAGCTATCAAATCCGCATAGATTTTCGTATGAGGCTTGCCTCACTAGTAAAAATGAAATCAATAAGTAATCAGCATCGCTTTTATCAAAAGCTCTATGTATAAGATTATCTATTATAACTAAAATCCAAATTGCACATTAGTGATAGAATTGAAAAGTCATTAAAAAGACTTCAATGTTATTATGTTCATTTACTTTTTAATTTCTGTGAATTAGGGTCTATATCTAAACATATTGATGCAGCTATAAGACACCACTTCCAAGATATTTCCTCTTCCTTCATGATAATAACTAACTCATCCAAAGGACTGGATATATATTGTATAATCTAGAAAATGAATCATGTTATCATTTAAAACACATAAATATAGTTTTATATATATATATATATATATATATATATATATATATATACACACATACACATTCATCAAATCTCATCCCAATACCTCTGTAAACATGTTCAATATATTTTTGTCAAGATTTGCTTTTATCCATGAACTCTGGTGTTGTATAGCCATTTGAACTTTCACATATGGTTTGTGTTTTACTATCGTATGTAAATGATCCATATACACTTCCTGAATTACTCTATCTAAATAAAATATATTAATAATTGAAATATAGCAATTTATTCTAATTAAATATATTGCATACCTGTCAAAACATTTCTTTCCCTTAGTTCCTTTAAATAATTTATATTAAATTCCTCAATTTGATTCAGTAACATAGATAAAAATCGTCTCCTTATTGATTGCCAAATTATTGAACTAGTTTTTAACCATGCTGTTTGGAAACTTGGACTTATATTTCCTATTTGAGGTCCTGTATTGAGTTAAAATAAAATTTAAGATTTTAAGACTACTCAATGTGATTTATTTGTAAATCCGGTTTTTTATCTCCCTCATTTCAGGCATTATTAAAGCCTAATAATTCATTCATTAACATTTCAAGATAATACATTTCAATTATTAGTGTTCAAGCTCTTCTTGGCAATTCAATGAGTATTTAATGGTATTTTAATAATATTTGAAAAATTAATGGAATAGAATATACTTAATATAAAAAGTTTACCTTTAATGCAAATTAAAAGTTCTATAAAAAAGTCTGTGTAGATTTGTTTAATATGAGCACAATCCTCTCGCTGAACTCCCAAATTTTTGTCATTGGTTAAACATGCTAATTGCACTAAAAGTTCTGGCAGTTTTTTAGCCTGATCTGGATGGCTACATAAACAATTAAATATTTATAGCAATAATTTATATTTCTAAATACAAGAAATGTGAAAATTCTTACAAATAAACATATGAGCCTAAATAAAATAGATGGTGCACCTGCAAATACCAAAGACTTTCTAAAGGCATAGGCAATTTCATATTCACAACCAACTTAATAAATTCATTCTCATCAATGTAGTTCGATGAAATATTACTGACAAGATTTTCAAGTAACATTTTAGTTCTGAATCGATTTCTGGGTGATAATAAAAGGTGATTTTTGTTACTTATTTCTTCCTCAACAATTTGTTTAAAAACCTATAAAAATGTAATTCAGTATTACAAGATATGTATACATGTGAATTCTAACAAACATACTCACAGAAAATATTTCAGGAACGTTTTCCATTATCTATTCTATTGAAGATAACTGATAAACTAAATTTTCAATTCATTCTGTTAAAACCGTCTTTACAAATAATCTATAATTTAATAGGCGTGACTCATTCTTATTACTTCAAAAAAAAATGTTTTCAAACTACGTACGTAACCAAGAATTTATTTATTACAAATTAAATCAAGATCGAAAATTGAAACACAACCGTTAAAGTAACGCTTAGCAGTGAACAGATGATTAAGTAGTAAAGGATTTTTGAGGGCGACGCCAAAATTTATACATGGGCCTTAATTTTTCAATGCAAATTAATAAAATACCATAATATATTCGTATAAATGAGAATTCTAATAGATTTTGTATTTGCATGTTTTTGACACAAACATAATTAACTCCTACTTCACTCCTTCCAAAGTATTTATACAGAGGTACCAACCAATAAAAATTATATTGTGGTTTTGTGCAAAATCGTTTTATAGGGTAAAATTTGAAAAATGTGTTTCAAATGGCCTGTAGTTGTACTTTTAGCCATATATAAAGAAGAGCTTTTACCCTCGAAAGTATATAATTGTATATTTTGGTTGTGTGGTTGTAGTGCAGTATAGTTGATTGTGCAGTGTAAATGGTAAGTTGTACTAGATTTACCTATATTATTTCTTTGTTTTGTTTTCATATTAGGAAATTAGTTTTATATTATCCATTATTAGAATATCAACATCTGTTTGTTTGATCTATATTCCCCATATACACTTAAAGTAAAACATAATTATTGCAACTAATTGCTCACCTTTAATTATTGGCTATAACCCATAGGTAATATATAATTAGCATTTTTTTAATGTTAACATATGTAGCTATTACAGTAACTGCAAAGTACTATGAATGCTACATATTATTATTGAAATTGAGCTATTATCACTGATATCTAATGATACATTAATTTTCAATTCAATGGTAGTAATATTTTATGATACTTTTTGCAGTAAATAGAACTTTAAAAACACAAATAATTAAAAATAATATTTTTCATCATATTTTAAACCATTAACATCAATATAATGATAATAATGAAAAAATATATATTTTTAAAATAATTTAATTTTATTTAAATGTAGAAAGTGATCTCTGATAGAAATTAATTTTTTATCTCATTGAATATTCTAGTTATTCTATCACATTTTTATAATATTATTCAGTTCTCTGAGCAGATATTGTTTTTGAAATAGCAACTGTAGGCCTATATCTTGAATATGATCCTAAATTTTGATTTGGGAACAAAGGCGCATGTAAATGTGCTCTTGCTGTAAATCTTTTTCCAGCAATATCAATTTCATATTTTGCTTCTTTGTCCAGAATAAATTTATCATTCAATATGGCTGGGGTATTTGGTTTGTATTTCTGTAAATATCCTAGGCAAATCAGCTTATTTGTTGTGAAGCCATATCTGTAAGTTAGTAAGTTATTGTGAAAATAATAAAATTTTGTTTCAGAGCCACATACCACAATCATTGCTTGCCCTTTCTTACATATATGTTCTGAAACTATTAACCACTCACCCTGCAGAAGTAACTGTTCCCATATATTCATTGTTTCTATAAATGGGCTCGCCGCCCCAAGGCCATATATCTTTATCACAGTCTATGTCTTGAAGTTGAAACATCACTAAACGTTTCGTACATCCTTGTTCCTTTTGTCTTAACAAAGCAGATTTTCCAATAAAATATTCTTTCTAAAAATCAGAAAAATGTCACCATGGACATTTTAAAACCAACCATCCCAATTGCTTACATCTAGTTTGACGCTATAACCATTTCCTGCTTCATACGGAGTAGTGAAACTGGTCAATTCCTCTGCCCAAAAAGGTATAAACTTTTCAATTCTCATAAATCTTTGTGTTAAAGTTCCTACATCCCTTGCGCCATAATCGCGACCAACCTATACAGAAATAAGTATACAAAATATATGTAATGTGGTGCTTAAGTTGGAATGCATTTGAAAGCATGTGAATTGTTTAAGTGAATGAAATACTAACGCTCATAAGTCTGTCATAAATATGCAAAGCATATTCTGATGGCACATACAGACAAAATCCAGGTTCACCTGTATGCGTGAAGGACATTACCATAACATCTGATGCATACCCTACATTAACCTGAGAATATAGAAAATATTTATTAAATTAATTCAGAGTATTGTTAAAGTTACCATTTTTTTTTAAAGACAACTTTGATTGTAGCACCAATGTCGAGTGAAAAAATAATGGTTCAAAGAAAAACAAAAAAAACAAAATAGAAAAATCTGAAGTAAAATAAAATCTCTAACACTCTGTATTGTAGGTTTTTGAAAAAATCACTCCATAAACCCAGTCTGTCCATAGCCGATTTCAAAAATTTAAAAGCCATTTGATGTATCTCGGAGAAGAATTCCATTTCTCAATTTTGTGCTACGGTCGGCCGAGCTGGTTCTTAGTAATTAAGAGAAAAGTGAAATGATTTTCTCCATGTTTTAGCCAAAAATTCTAAATCAATTTCAAAAATTCATTATTCAAAAAAGATATTATTCGGGAATCGTGCGTTTCTTCGTAATTAACTCTTGAAATTTTTTTTCAATGTGATTTTTTATGTTGATAGACATCATGGTCCTAAAAAACATAAAAATGTTACGACCCTAGGGCAACATATAAAAATGTTACGACCCTAAGGCAAGTAGTTAATTTTAAAAATTCATCAATGTTTGACAAAGAATGAAAATTCGTGTTAAAAGTCGCTTTTGTGATGTGATGAGTCAGAATTTGAATTCCACAAATGTAAAAGCCATTCTTTTGGAATCAGCAGAAAAATAAGTCTACAAAACTTCTCTAGTTGTGTAAAAAATATTACCATTAGTTTAAATCATTAAATAATATCAATTTCGGTTGATTAAGTCAATTATTACACATTTTGAAAAGTTCATGCAAATTTCCAAAAGGAAAAATGCCACTTTCAACTAGTTAACTATGTTATTAGATGACTATACTTTATTATGCGATGATAAAAGTTACCTATCTACCTATATGCAAATTTTTATTAAAAAAAATGTATGCAGTATTCAGATCTGCGAGTTTCCAGAAAATTATTTAAAATGTTTAACATCTAGATAAAATGTATTTAAGCTTTTGTGATGTGATGAGTCAGAATTTGAATTCCACAAATGTAAAAGCCATTCTTTTGGAATCAGCAGAAAAATAAGTCTACAAAACTTCTCTAGTTGTGTAAAAAATATTACCATTAGTTTAAATCATTAAATAATATCAATTTCGGTTGATTAAGTCAATTATTACACATTTTGAAAAGTTCATGCAAATTTCCAAAAGGAAAAATGCCACTTTCAACTAGTTAACTATGTTATTAGATGACTATACTTTATTATGCGATGATAAAAGTTACCTATCTACCTATATGCAAATTTTTATTAAAAAAAATGTATGCAGTATTCAGATCTGCGAGTTTCCAGAAAATTATTTAAAATGTTTAACATCTAGATAAAATGTATTTAAACTTTCTTTCCACTATCGTTTAGAATTTCAATAAAATTTAGACAAATCCGGCGAGTTTGTCTTATAATCATAACGCTAAAGTTTATAAAGAATAATCGCCACATACTTAATTGATCACAGAAAATAATGACATAAATTAATAAAAAATTGCTTATATAAATTAACTACCTTTGCGAATTCGAAAGGTTGATAATATTAGCAATAACATGTAGAAAAAATATTTTATTGTTCATTATTTTTAATGAGCAATACAAATATAATTCCTGTAAACATTTCAAAAACGTCTTATTATGTTCATACAAAAAAATATATATGCTATATTACCTTCTTGTATGTGAAAGGCGCCAAATTTATATTTGAATTGGAAAGTTCACTTAAGAGCTGAGTTGCTTTTGGTCCTACAACATTAATTACAGTATACATTGAAGTAACGTCATTTAGGCAAACTGAATGGTCACTAGGCAAATGTCGGTTCATCCAGCCATATATCCTAGTTTGTTGACTTGAAGGTGAAACCATGAAAAAACTAAAAATCAATAAATTAAAGAAGAGTTTTATTTGAGTTACAATAAATAAAAGTTAAGAGATACCAGTCGTCACTTTGCCGAACCAATATACAATCATTTTCATAGCCACCTTGCTCATTTTGCATTCCCGTATGCACAATTGATCCTACTGGTATATTTATATCATTAGAGCACATTTTTTCTAAATATTCAACCACTGCATTTGTATTTGACTGCAATGAAATAATCAACAATATTAAAATTAGTGCAATTCTATAATTTGCTATTGAACAAAAATTGAAGTGTAAAAGAAATTAATCAATACCTTTATAGTTATTTTTGAAAATGATGACATATCTATTATACCAACACCTTCTCTACAGGCAAGATACTCTTCTCTCATAAAATCAAAAAATTTAGGTTTGTAAAAGCTTCCGGGTGGCATCTGCGGTAGTGGATCTCCACCTACAAAAATTTTATTTTATGAAAATAATTGATGGTTTATCATATTTACTTTGCAAGAATAAATTAATTTATTATTATTATATAATAATGTACTTGGCATAAAAACTATTCATTAAAATTTGGAAATAAATGCACGTTTTAGGGAAGTAAATGCTTGGCTTCGAACAAAAATTTCCTCAAACATAAATTCCTTTAAATTTAAATTATACATCTTTGATTGGAATAAAAAGTAAAGAAATTTAAATTATAAAAAAAAAGTTTATTTGGGAAGGTATATGCAACACAAAATGAATAAGAAATTTGTACAATACAATCAAAATATAAAAGTACAAATTTACCTATACTTTTCATTTCGTTTTATTTAAAATTTTAATATACCATTGTAAATAATTTTATGAGATTTTAGCAAATTTTATCTGTTTTTTACGGATGTGTATAAAACAAAGTGGCCGCAGCAAAATTTTCACGGTATTTAAAGAAATGTAAAAAACTTTACAAAATTCACATATTGCTAATTATCAAAATCCTAAATGTACAAAATACTAAAACATTAAGATACACATCAAAAAACTAAATCATTTAAATCGAAACAAAAATTACTAAGACTTTCAATATCATATGTAGACAGATTATAAACTTAAAAATAAATGCTAAAAACACGTGGCCCGTTTATACCAGTCCCCAAAATAGGTATTTTTACCCACCCCATTTATAGTGTGTTAAAAACAATAATTTAATACTTGCGTTTATAATTTGGATCAAAGTACAATGCCCTTTCATAAGCCATTTTGATTCCGAAAACCGCACCTCTTTTCTCTAATACACTGTATAAAGGGGAACATCTAAGCTTTCTTGCATATTTGTATTCACACTGATGTGGATATAATATTGAGTAATGCCTAAAAAAAATTAAGTGTTATTTCTTTAAAAGGATGCTGAACCGTAACATGTGGATCAACTATCTCTCATTCAATCAGGTTTGTGAGACTAGTTTTTTTTTTCTGTTTCAGATTTTCAAAATTGTTGAGAAAGAATTTATTATAATTCATTTATATATTTTAAGTAATTGATATTATATTGTTGATTTTCAAATTATAATTTAAATATGTTGAAAACTTATGTCTTTGTCCAAATTTTAATATATACTAATGTATCTAATAAATATTGCTGTAATTTACCTTCCCACTACTTCTCTGGTTCGCTTTTGTAAGTACTGGCGATTATTATGCAAATCGAGGAATCTTTGAACGTTAAATGTTAACAACTCTTGTGTTGGATGACCTTCTATTAGCCATTCGGCAACAGCTTTACCAATACCACCAGCACCTTGGAGAGAATTTCCATTAAGGCCACATGCTACAAAATAATTTTTTACTTCCGCTGTTTCGCCCAAAATCCATCTTCCATCAGGAGTGAAGTTGTCTGGAGAATTGGTTAAAATGGGAAGAGTTGAAGAATCTCGTAGAATCGGAAATCGACGAACAGCTCGTTCCCATAGCGGTTCTGAAACAGTTATAAAACATTACGTTGGATATTTAAATATTACATAAAGTGATTAAATAATTATTAAAAAGTATACACTAAGAAGTATCAATTTCATCATTATAATGCTCTGATAACTATATATTATATTTACAATAATTTAACATTGAACAATAATTATTGCTCACAGCATAAATATGCAAATATATAGGAAGTGACTTGTTATGCAAAAAATAGTATTAACGAGATTCTACTGTATATATACACTGTATATATACTTCATTCATGGATAAAATCTAAATTATTAAAGAATTTACAAATTACCAAACAACGAAAACTGTACTATGAGAAACTGTGCTTATTTTCATAATTTCAATAACAATTCAACTACATATTATAGTACATATATGTACATGTAACTTGCAATCTGAATATATTTTATCAATTGTTTTTGTCTTTTTGTGCTCTTACTAAAATGCTTGAAGTCCTGCACAACATGGTCTTTCCACTTTTCAGGGACTGATTTATCTGCAAATGCTGGCTTAGCATCCTGCTCAAACCAGCCTATCATCAAGCCGCCATTGTACTCCCTAGCATAGGAATGGCTATCATAATCTCTTACACAAGGCAAATATGTTTCACTAGTGAAACCTAATGGGCCAGTTGTGGCATAAAAATGTTCAGCAGGATATGCCGGTATACGAACCTGATTTTAAATAAGGTATGAGAATTTTTAGAAACATTCATCGGATATTTATAGAAATTGTAGGCTGATTGCATCATAATTTATAAGTAATAATTTAAAATGTTTATCTTCTAAAACTTCAAACAAAATTTTCAGAACGTAAATAACTTTTTATACTGTCTTTCAAAAATATATCCAGTAAATAAAAAATATCTTACATAAATGGATGTAAAAAACTATTAATTGCACAATCTGAACAGGTATAAAATATATTCTATCCATTGATAAAACTTTTCTTTTATGTTACCGAAGTATAATAGTTTTGGATTAGTTAATTATAGCATTGGTAAAATTATTTTAGCATGTTTAGATAGTAAAAAATCCTTAATCCAAAAATATAAATAATTTTAAACATCGTTTCATAAAACATTATATCTCAATACAAATCCACATAGAGTAATATTTAATAGCAAATTTGTAATTTAACATTTTTATTTAATAATAGTGCAAACAGCCTTTGATATTAAAAAAAGATTACTGGTGGATTGCATTTTAGGCCTAAATCTCTCGCCCACATGCCTGCACAATTAATAAAAAACTCGCATTGCACTGTGCCTTTATCAGTATTGACTGCGCTAATAGCATTATTAGCAGTTAAAACTTCTAGAACCTTACAATACTCTTTATAATTTGCACCACCTTTAATAGCCATATCAGCCAATGCCTTACAAATTGCTTGAGAATCTGCTACAGCATCGTCTGGAATCCATACAGCACCTTCTATATCTTCTGTGTGGAGATAAGGGTGCAAATTATTTATTTGTGTTTTATCAATTAATTCGCATCGAAGACCTGTAGGTAAATTATAGGCCATTCTCCTTTGCAATGCAATAAGGCGATCTTTAGTTTGTGCAAGAGCTATGCTACCGCATTGTTGAAGCCCTATTTCATAGCCCATTTTCTGCATTTTTTGATACAAATCGATACTGTATTTTATAATATTTCGCATGGCAGTTGGCTTAAGTAATCCTAACGTGCCTGATCCAAAATGAGATGTTCCACTGCCTATTTCTTCCTGTTCCAAAACTAAAACATCTTGCCAACCATTGCAAACCAAGTGGTACGCTATGGAGTTTGCAACTACCCCAGCTCCTGCTATCACGACTTGGGCCTGACTTGGTAAATTATCAGAATTGGAACACTTTGAATAATTTTGATAACCTTTAATATAACCTAATAAATTGCATTGAATTAAAGAAATTATGTTTGATTTTCTTTGCGCACATTTTGCATAATTTGTGGAAAACATCTTCATAAATTGCCTATAAAAAAAAGTTAAATCTACAGGATCAAGTTACTATTTGTCTGCATTCTTCATTTTTGAATACTTATGACAACCCAAAATAAACATAACCTTTTTCTTCCTTCTTTCTTTCGGTAAGAATGTGACATTTTTCATATTTAGCATGTATGCATTCATCGCATATATTTGTTATATATACTCATAAAATTTAGGATATATATATATATATATATATATATATATATATATGTATATATGTATATATATATATATATATATATATATATATATACAGGGCCGGTCCTGGGGTCCTTAGCGCCCGCATGCAACTTTTTTTCTAGCGCCCCCCCCCCTTATTAATATTAACTGTTTTAACAATTTATCATTAAAATTATATAAAGAATTTAAAAAAAAAATTTTTTTAATTATTCTGGATTTAGTAGGTACACAAAAAATTAGATATAATCTAAAAGCGTATAAAATATATTAATTTTAAATTTATTTAGAAAATCGAGGCGATTTGCGAGTTGATTATAATTAAATATTTTACTTATATATTATGCGATTTATTCTATTGAGCAAATCATGGCAAGAGTGCCAAAAAAACTAGCTTTTCATTTTCAATCATAACACTCGAGTGAAATGAAATACGATCGTATTTCATATTGAATTTTTTAAATTTTAGTTTAATTTAATTTTTCATCATTTACAATATCCAAAATTGCGTCGTAAACTTCTCCTTATTGATAGTATAAGAGCCGAATTGTATTTATCCTTGCTTTCCCGTCATATTCAGAGTATCAGTTTGTTGTTTTAAAGTTAAATTTTTAACGTATTTTGAAAGTACCGTCCAAAAATCAGTAAAAAATGCAAAAAAAATACACATTTCTTGAAATATATTGAAACAAAAACTTATTATATTTGATATGTGTTATTTCTGCATAGTTAATAATTATTAAATTTAGAGTATGAACACCGCTAGATATAAAAAAGCTTTAAGATTTTCGTTCCAAAGTAAATCTTGCTTCCATTTTTCATATTTGTTCGATTACGGAAACCCTAACCACGCATGTCTTCAACATTCAAAATTCATCAGAAGCAAAACATTTGCAACAAAAGCAAAAGTTACAATTCAATTTCTCCGAATAAACATGCCATTTTTAAGCAGTGACTGCCCATTTTTTATTTTCCCGATTATAATTTGTTTACATTTTTCAAAAAGTTCCGTTTCAACTAAATCATCTCGCAATTTTTCGTCAATAATGCCCAATAATTAATTTAATCTTTCGCAGGTTTGAGCTTATGGGATTGAACAGTAGATAATTTCTTTTTCGATTCCACGATAACTTTAAAGAAAGAAAAAAATGAATAAGTAGATTAAGCAATGAACAGAGCTGTTATTTACTAATTTGCAGAGTTATTAATCGGTTAATTATTTCTACTGATATCACATTGCAAAATAAATGTGAATAAATGCTTTTTGTGTCTCCGTATCCCTAATTAAGTTAGATTGTTTGTTATAATTTATTAAGTATTCTAGATTTTATATAAATAATTTTAGATTTTATATAAAAAATATAAATATTATATTATAAATTTAATTTCCGAAACTCGCTTTCGTTCTTCAAGGTAAGTTCTTCAAGGGCATACATCAAATAAAAGGCAAAGATTTAGAAGTTAATCTTTAATTTTTCCAAACGTTTCGACATAGTATTTTATGTCATCATCAGTGGATATAAATATGGTCTTACATCAGTAGCTAGCGCATATACATTAACTTTTTTTTTTTTTCAACATCAAAATTAACTACTAAATCATATATATATATATATATATATGTATATATATATATATATATATATATACAGGGTCGTCCTGCCTTGCATACGATGCATGCAAAAAATGCGGGCGCACGCCTTAGGGGGCGCCAAAACGAGTTTTGAAAATTAAATTTATGATATATTATTATTTTTTATTATTTATATAAAACCTAGAATACTTAATAAATTATAATAAACAATCTAACTTAATAAGGGATAGGTAGACAAAAAAAGCATATTTATTTTGCCATGTGATATCAGTAGAAACAATTAATTAATTAGTAAATAACTGCTCTGTTTTTTTGCTTAATCTACTTATTCAATTTTGTCTTTTCAATTTGAAGTTACCGTGGAATCGAAAAAGAAGATCTAGTGTTCAATCCCGTAAGCGCAAACCTGCGAAAGAGTAGATTAATTATTGGGCATTATTGACGAAAAATTGCGAGCTGATTTTGTTGAAACGGAACTTGTTAAAAAATATAAACAAATTATAGTAGGGAAAATGAAAAATGGGGAGTGAGTGCTTAGAAAGTGGCATGGTGGCATGTTTATTCCGAGAAATTGAATTGTAACTTTTATTTTTCTTGCAATTGTTTCTCATCTGATGAACTTTGAATGTTGAAGACATGCGTGGTTACGGTTATGGAAATGGAACAAATATAAAAAATGAAAGCAAAATTTACTTTGAAATAAAAATCTTATTTTTTTTCTATCTAGTGATGTCCATACTCTAAATTTAATAATTATTAACTATGCAGAAATAAACCATATCAAACATAATTAGTTTTTCAATATAGTTCAAGAAATATTAATTTTTTGCGTTTTTTACTGATTTTTGAACAATATTTCTAAAATACGTTAAAAAATGATCACAATCACAATTGAAATCTGATACTCAGAATATGACGGGAAAGCAAGGATAAATACAATTCGGGTCTTACGATATCAATAAGGAGAAGTTTACGACTCAATTTTGGATATTGTAAATAATGAAAAATTAAATTAAAATTTAAAAAATTCAACATGAAATACGAGTGTTATAATTGAAAATGAAAAGCTAGTTTTTTAGCTCTCATGGTATGATTTGCTCAATAGAATAAATCGAATAATAAATATAAGTAAAATGTTTCAAAACTCTAATAATAATATTAATATCAAATTTAAAAATAATTGATTATAATCAACCCGCGAATAGGCCCCAATAATGAATAAGTAAAATGTTTCAAAACCCATCAAATATTAATATTGCACATACGTTAAAAATTTCAATATGGTTAAGTATGAATATATATTCTAATAATGTTTAGTGTATTTATTTCGTTTCGGAGATAACTGGATGCCCCTTCTTCAGGAACTTATTGAAAACAAAACAATTTTTTTTATATATTTTGAAAATTGAAAGAAACACTTTTCACCTTTCAATTATTGAAACCAACGATTTTTATTCAAAATTATGAATTCTTTCAATTATCAAATATGAATTATTCAAAAATTGTATATACTTAAATGTATAAAAAAATTATTAACCTAAATTACTTTTGTAATACATTACCTATAGGCTTTTATATCATTAACATTTCCAGGCTCGAATGCACTTTGTACAAAATCCGAAAGCGCTTTATATCCGTGCGTCTGAAACTCACTGGTAAACATTACACCCGTCTTCAACTCAAAAATTGTAATGGATAATCTTGATTGCCTCCGCAATTTGAATTTCAGTAACTCAAAACATATATGAAAGTTATAATCTAAACACTTTATTCATTAATAATATATATATATATATATATATATATATATATATATATATATAAGTATTAGTAAATCAACTAAACAAATCTTTGCCAAATCATATTGTCAATCAATCAATATTCAATTGCAAGTGAATCAATTTATTTTTCAAGTGTCACGAACTCTCAAAATTTGAACGCAATGTCTTGTTAACAATTGTCCTATTTCAAAGTTCAAAATCTTTAAATTAATAATTACTACTTAATACTAGAAGCGGTTTCTAAATGGAACTCAATAAAACAGATTTATTGTTATTATATATAAATTAAATTCGGCCATCCTCGGATAAATCCGTTGCGTTCTATCGTTTGGAGCATTAACACAGTTAAAGGCTATAGATGCATTAATATACAGAATCGGCCCCTCCTTCGTATTTAAATGATTTATATGCCATTTATGCGCACTTTCTAAAAACAAATCAATAAAACCAATTTTCAACATTCCAATTTACTATTTGGCTATCAATGATATTTATATTAAAGATTTGATTGAAAATATGTAAAAAGTGTCCTCTTTTTTTAAAGCTTTTTTGCAGTAAAGGATATTGAAAAACAACTAACGTAGTTAGTGAAATGTTTGGACTATATTATTTTCAGCAAATAATTCATTAGTTGTTTAGCACAATCATTAGCATGTCCGTGCATAAAATAAATTTGAAATAATTTTTCGTTTTGTATTCCCTGGCAAAGTAGATTCATGAAAATTTTAATAAGCTTCGTTAGAAATCATAATTTTCATGTGCGATCCAAAATATTATTCAAATTTTTGTAATATATAAATATATATATACAAAAAGTTGAAAAACTGCAACCGCAATTCATATAATATCATGAATATAATAATATCTATATTATTGGATATTTGCAGTCTTAATATTGTTAGTGTGGCGCGGACATTCATTGTCCGTGCTGTAATCCTATGGATGTGGCCTATCCTGACCTTACCCGAAACATGTTAAAGTGTCGCACCCACGGGACATTCTGTAGAATATCTTATATTTTGTTACATTTAGTCTACCAGTTTTCTTGTATCCCAGTCTACCGGTCTAGAACTATCTGTCTTTCTCTTTCTATGTCTACTAGTTTACCTGTCAACCTGTTTATCAGTCTTGTTTAGCTAACCACTAATTTGTCTACCAATTTACCTATCAACCCATTCCACATGTCTACCAATTTACCTGCCAACCTGTTCATCTGGCTTATTATTTGTCTATCAGCTGTCCTGTCTACCATTTTACAAATGTTCCAAATTACCTGACCACTAGCTCTCCAAAAATTTACCTGTCTATCAATTTACTTATCAACCTGTTTATCAACACACCATTTTATCTGTCAACTAATTTGCCTGCCTACCAATCAACCTGTCAACCTGTTTATCTATTTAGATATTCGCCTATGTGCTAGTTGTCCTTCCTACCTACCATTTTATAAATGCTCTAATTTACCTTATTTATTTCAACATCTTAAAAAAATTAAAATTGACCGACAAAAATGTTGAAAAGTCTTCGTGGCGGCCAACTCCTACCACTTGGCTTCAATCAAAATATCCGAAAACTCGTCTCACGATTTACCTAACAATTTCCTACATTTTCACAGCGATCAGACATATGGTTTCTGAATGCATAACAATTACACAGACAGACAGAGAGACATACTTTAATTATATATATATATATATATATATATATATATAAATATAGATAAATATAGATAAAACTCCAAACTAACAAATGGCAGGGTAATTAAATCAACAGTGTAGTAAATCTTGCCAACATTTTTCAGAAAGCCAGAACTGGGTAATTTTGTTTATAAAGTTACATTTGATGTGTGTATTTATTCCTCTAGTTTCATATTTTAAAATGAAAAAATACACCACCTTGAAAATTCAATTTTAATCAGTTTTTATTTAATATAACGAATGCATAAAATCTATTATCAAATTAATTCGTAACAGCTATTAGATCTCTTGCTCCAAAAGTATTTTGAACTGAAATATAAAAAATATTTTAGGTAAGAATAAAAGGTAATGTTATAAAAAATATTACCTTGTTCTTGCACACGTAGGTCCCATACTCCAAAATTATTTGATTTATTATCTCCTCCGCAAGCTATAACAAATGTATTTTCTGGACAAACCGCCATGCCTTGAATGTCACCAATTTTCATATCTTTTTCGGAGACCAATTGAGGTACCCTAAAAATCCCAAATAAACATTTTATACCAAATATAAAAACTATTTAATCATTTTATTAAAGTAGACTTTTTTTAATAAAAATATATCACCCATTCTTTGTATCCCATGTCTTTACAATATTGTCACTAGAAGCAGTAATCATCAAGCCTGGACAATATTTGGAAATGCTGAGTCCTGTAAATAATCAATATTTTCTTTCTAATGCATATATTGTTCATAATGAATATATTTGATGTACCTGTCACTTCTTTATCATGGGCTTTGATTTTCCACACTGCATTTTCAACTCTACAATCAATATAATGAACCTCACCATCACTTGTACTCACCTATGGAAAAAAATCTATATATACACAATACACTTATTTGTTACAACAATTAATATAAAAAAAATTCTCACACCAAAACAGAAAGGGTTATGAGCATCCCAATCAACTTTTTCGATTTCTCCTGACACTTTCCATGACTTATGAACACCATCAGTCTAAAAATATTGTCAATGTTTAAATGTCTAAAATATGATAAATAACATTTTGTATCAATTACTATTACTAAATTTGAAATTTTATAAATTTAAAACATTGTATTTTTGTAGTTGAAATACTGTCTCATAATACTCTTAAAAAAGATATTTGTTAAACTTTAATTTACAATACCTGTCGGCAATCATAAACTCGAGCGTAACCATCACAAGAACCAACTAAAAGTGTTTGATGTTCCAAAGAATGCCAAGATAATGTTTGGACCTGGAATATTGTCGCAAATCAAAATAAGAGCATTTTGCAATGAAAAAATTAATTTAAAGTTTTATTTACCTTATCTGATGCATTTGAGAATGTTGTATGAACTTGACCAGAATCCAAATCCCACAACATTACTGTTTTATCAGCTGATCCGCTAGCCAAGATATGACTGAAATAATAATATATATTACCATAATTTGGAATTTGATTTATTAGATACTAGAAGAATAATATACTAACTGATAATTTTTATTCCAGGCAATATCTAATACAGCATCTTTATGACCATATTTTTTCTTTTTGCTTCCTAATTTGAATGCCGGTTCTAGACAATCAATGATATCTAAGTCCCAGATTTCTATGACTGGATCCATCGTACCAATTGCACACAAATTTCCTGCAAACATTATTATTAATATTGCTATATATATTAGAGAACCACAATTTGTAAAGCATACACAACTAAGAATACTATGACATAGTAAAATACCTGGCTTTGGATTAGATGGATCATAGTCTAACCACTCTATGCACAAAGGAAATGTGGGTAATAGCAAATCATGATGCACATATAATGAACCCTCATTCTCATTATATACTATAACGAAAGAAAAAAATCACTACAATTTAAATACAGATTGAAATTGCTATAATTTATAATTACCACTTAGATATCTCAAGAATTACATCCTCATAAAATAAAACAGATAAAAATCAACTTACTATATACTTCTAAGATACTCGCATCTCCTTCAACATGGCCCACAAGAACTAGATTATCATCAGCCTTTATAATGTCATCTTCCGCTTCAGAATCTTTATAAAAAATACAATATAAAATATTCCACTAAATTACTATCAAAAAGAAATTAATGTCATATAGAATAGACTATAATAAAACTACCAGAATCTTCATGATCCCCATCACGATCTCTTCTGCTAAAATATGATTCTGTTTCCTCATCTCCTATAAGAGCAATGCTACCGATTCCCAAAACTGAACTTGGCAATTCTAAAAAATATATTAAAATAGATAATTAAATTTAAAAACAAAAATTATTATTAATAATAAAAAACCTTCATCTTTATCATATTCATTTAATTTATATTCATCATCTAGCATCGCAGTATCGTCATCATTTGCTACTTTATTATCATCTGTTACCATCTCATCACCAGAATGTTCACTATCGCTTTCATGGTCGCTAAAAATGAACAACATTTACTAATTATTTTAATAAACTTCATTTTATATAAATATTTATTAATAAAATATTTTATTCTTGAAAGAACATAAAAACTATACGTATATGTCTGTTTTAAATAAATAATTGAAAAAAAAATTATATCTATGACATTTAACACTAACTTTATTTCCTGTTTTGCTTTATTAATTATTTCTGCCAATTCTTCTTTAGAAAGCTGCACCTAAAATTCAGTAATCAATGTTTTAGAGATCATAATACTGTATTCTTCTGCTAATATAAACTTTGTACAAGAGATAACCTTACTTTGTCGGGGTTTGATTTAGCAACGCCTCGTTTAACAAAGCAAACACAAGGTACAAAATTAACATTTTCCATGTCGTAAAACCGATTTAACAATTACAAATTTACAAACATATAAAATATAAAAATAAATATAACTGGATGAACGATGTGTATGAAGAACTACACGTGCTTCGGAATTTTAGCTACGTGCTGTCAGTTTAATGACATATCGTTGAGAGGTTGAGAAAAGAGAGATGAAAGACATGACGACATGAGATATATGTGGCTACCGAAAAAATTCGTAACTAAGTTAGGAATATGAATCTAACTTCATTTGTGATTTGTTGACACTTGTAAAAGATAAAAGTGGTGTATTTGGGCAGTCGTATTATCACGCAGCAGTCAAATTGAGTCAAATTTACTATGTGCTTTTTATCCATAACTAAGTATAAAATTTTCGTATAACTAAAAGAAAAATGGACTCATAATATTAAGAAGGTAAAAATACATTGCAATTAAAGTTAAATCATATCATTTTCAAAGCTCATGTACTATAACTAATAAAGTCAAAAAACAGTAATTGGAATCTAGAAGTGTCAATGTCAATACAAATGCAGTTGAAGATAAACACAGTGGATCGATTATGTTGGCAATAATCTTTCCGTTTACGCATATTGAATATGATATTTTGAGTTATCCCACCTAGGGATGTGTCTATGGTGACAGTTTCAATTCAAAATATTTAGATTGGTGACGGATGATTTTCTTTTTATTCGCTAAATATTATACCTTCTCATAAAGTTATATATATATATAAATGTGGTAGTTGGCGAATATTACATAATAATATAAACTATTGGTATTAAATTAAATAATAAATACAATTTAAATAGAGAAAAGACCAGGAAGAAAATTGAGATTGTACTACAATATAACAATGAATTCCGATGCACAAGATCCTTGTTCAAGTGGATTAATAGTTCCAATTATTGTTGAAGAATTGGATAGCAATTCTTTAGACAAGTACGACTTGGCAGAATTTCGTGAAGCACAAACTGTAACTATACAGAATGAAGAAGAACAAGAACAAGAAAAAAATGTTGAATCAGATGTAAATTATGTAGAATATGATGCAGAGCGAGACCATGAGCTAACAAATAAGTTCTTAAATGGAGAATTAACTTTCGATCAGTTTTCGGCGCAGATGGAGGGCACTAGCTCGTCTGAGGAAGAAGATGAAACTGATATAACAAAGCAGAAATCTGAAATTTCGGAACGTGTACATAAGCCACACAAATCTAAAGTGAGGCGAAACCAAAGAACACAACTACCTCCTGCGCTTCTTGGACTCATGGGTGAAGCTAATCTTCGGTGCGCCAGAGGTGAAATGGAAATAGCTGAAAACATTTGCTTTGAGCTAATAAGACAGGTACCTACTGCTCAAGAACCTTTCATAACATTAGCACAAATATATGAAATAAGCAACCCAGAAAAATCACTTCAATATTCATTAATCGCAGCCCATGTGTGCCCTCACAATGCTGAACAATGGGTGAGATTGGCAATTCAATCTGAAGACTTAGGAAATATAAAGCAAGCGATCATTTGTTATGATAAATCTTTAAAGGTGGATCCTAAAGATGTTAGTTTGCACAGAAAGCTAATAAAACTTGTCGAAACAACTAATGATACAAAAATGACATTGCGATGTTATTTACGATATTTGGAATATATACCTTTAGATGAAGCAGAAGAAATAGTTCAAGTAGCAAAAATGATAGCAACTAATTACCATCATGATAATAATATTTCAAAAGCATTAAAAGCTTTAGAAATTGCTTATTCTCGAGTACCACAACATTTCAAAGATCCTGATATAAATTTGCTTTTAGAATTAATGATAGGAGTAGGAAAATATCAAAGCGGCTTACAAGTTCTAGCTCAACATGCAAATGTTGTAATTGAAGGAATGACTGAGTTATATGAAAGTAAAGAGGGTGTTGATCAAAAGTTCTTTGTGGTTAATTGCACAATACCCGATGATTTAATTTTAGATTTACGTGTCAAGTTAATAATATGTTTGGTACATTTGCGAGCTGACCATTTGTTCAATGATTTACTACACCATTTATTAATTAAAGATGATAAAGAAGAGTATGGTGACTTATATTTAGAACTTGCTGAAGCTCTTATGAAAGAAAGCTATTTTGAGGCTGCATTAAAATTGTTATGCCCATTAATAGAAAGCAATAATTTTAGTTTAGCTGCAGTTTGGTTAAGATATGCAGAATGCCTGCAGGCTTGTGGGAGGATAAACGAAGCAATTACTTCATACCAAACTGTTATCCATTTAGCCCCTAAACACTTAGAGCCTAGGATGACCGTTTCCATTCTTCTTAGGGAACAGAATAAGTTTGAAGAAGCATTGAAAGCTCTAGAGCAAGATGAAGATTTGGACATGTTAGATCCCGGATTGCTTTTTGAACGCTGTAAATTACTGAGGATAATGGGAGATGAACTTCAATTATTACAAGTTGGGCAACTTTTATTATCAAGACATTGCGTTCGAATAAGAAATGCTGAAGAGGCGGAAGCTTTAACTAGATTGCAGGAAGTTGTACGTAAAAAAATTGCTATTAAAGAAGTAAGAATGGCTAGAGGTGAATTATATGAAGATGTTGATGCTCCAATATTTCTTAATGCAAATGAACCAAGTATTCAAGATGAATGGCTTTTATTGAAAGAACTTCTTCAAATCGCCTTCAAGAAAAAACAATTTGGATTATGTCAACGTATATCTTTTTCTGCATTGGGATCTAAGCGTTTTAAGGAATATATACGCGAATTAGAGTTTACATGCCTTATTATTTGCCTTGCAAATCAAGATGGTTATTTAGGCTTCAACATAATTCGCGAACTAGTACAGAAAAATTATGAAAAACACCGAGTATGGAATTTATACAATCAAATTATTCAAAGAGCAGATGACGTAAGACATAGTAAATTCTTGATGCGCTTTTTATGTCGCAATGGTCATAATCTAAATCCTGCTGTAAATATTCTTACTGGAAACAATTGTTTGGTTGCAGGTACTTATAAATATGCTCTAAGTGAATATGTATCTCGGTATAAGCATGATGGTTCAGCTTTACATGCATTTATGGTCGGAGTTACCATGTTCCAAATGGCTTGTCAAAAATTTTCAGCAAAGAGATCTAGTCTTATAACTCAAGGAATAGCGTTTTTTACTAAATACGCGGCGGGACGCGGTAAAGAAGCCCAACATGAAATTCATTATAACACAGGACGTGCCTTTCACCAACTGGGCTTTTCACACGTGGCAATCCATCACTACTTGAAGGTTTTAGAAATAACAAACTCTTTAATTGAATCTCGTCCTGAAATACTAGACTTACGTAAAGAAACAGCTTATAACATACATTTAATATATGCAAAAAGCGGTTCGCATGATTTAGCTAGAATGTATTTACAAAAATATATTGTATTATAATATTATTTTGTAAAATAAATCATCGTTTATATAATAATTTATATCTTTTACTATTTGTTGCAGTGCCTGTATAGTCTAATATAGCAATAAAAATGGGTACTCAAGAAATTGGCCTTAGTGTTGCATCTAAAATACCATTCAGTGACTTCTGTAATCGTTGTGAATTATTTCAAAATGCACCCAAGACTAAAAAGTTCGATTTTATGCGAAATTACATAAATTATTTTAGAAATTTTGCGGAAGAGTTCAAGTCAGAACATGCAAACGCGGTAAGTGCTAAATCTAAAACAAAACCTTGTTAAGCAGAATTTTTTTTACGAAATTTTGGTTTTCATGTAATAAAATTATACTTTGTGTACAATAGCTTCAGGTACAATAAAAAGTATTCCCCTTGTTTTAGGACGTAAGTTTTTATCCTGTATTACGATTATTAGTTCCTCAAGCAGAAAGAGAAAGAGGTGCCTATGGGCTAAAAGAATCTACTTTAGCGAAGATTTTAATTAGGGTTTTATCAATATCCAAAGAAGGTACATCAAAGTTAAATTTCGTATGTGCGTTATTCTCGATTAAGTTTATATAAATATTTTATTAATATTAACATTATCAATTATCAATAATATTTTTATTATATATATGTATATATATATATATATATATATCAACTTGAAATTAATTATAATTTTTTATGAAGCTGCGGATGCCAAAAAATTGCTCAATTATAAAAGTGCGTCGTCATATGGGGATTTTGCCGAAGTCGCCCACATTGTGTTGAAATTACGGTGTGCTCAAAAGGGAACTCTAACTGTGGAAGATGTCAACAAACATTTGGACAATATTGCCATGAAATATGCTGAGCATGTACAACGTATGCAAAATTATACTTGAAATATAGTCATCTCACTATATACTTAAAATGTCTTGTTTAAAAAAAATACGCAGCAGCAGAATATTTTGATATTTGAAAGTTAATTTGTATATTAATCATCTTGGAATAATAATAAATTAAATAGAATAAATTCAATACATATACAGTACCGGTCAAAAGTTTGGGTCCACTTCACAATATTGATCAAATGTTCAAGAAACCATGGTTTTCTTCGTTCATTGGTTTTTATTATCAATCTTTATGAAAATGTAATCCCACACGCAAAAGCGCGCCGTTAAAGAATGTTGTAGTAGACTTTTTTGTCCATGATACCCCGAATTTTCACAACGTCACTAATGCCCCCCCAGCAAAGCAGCATCCCCAGACTGGGGGTGACTGAGCATCGCCCGACGAATTGCTGTGGGAGAAGTTGGACAGACAAGTTTCAAAATTGCAACCAACTAATACAAAACAGCTTTGGACGTTCCTACAGAATCGTTGGAATGAAATAACGACGGAATCATTGCATAAATTGATTGAAAGGATGTCCAGAATATGCCTTGCTGTTATACGAGCAAAAGGCAGATATTTCGAAAAATCAAAAATATAGATAAATATTTGCGGGTTTTTTATGAGTTGAAATATTTTGTATAAACAGTGATTACATTTTCATAAATATTGGTATTGTACATTTCATCAATATTGTGAAGTGGACCCAAACTTTTGACCAGTACTGTACATATGTATATTTGTACAAACACTTGAATGACTGTAAAAAATTTGATTGAATTTTTGAGCTTTTTTTTACAAACATATGTATGTTGAATTCAAATTCTAAGAATATATTTCAATTAAATTTGCGAATTTGAATTAAGATTC